AAACTTCAATTGGAATTTTTAATGAAATAAAACTCATTTTAGTGATTGACTAGGTAAGGGCTTCGAAATCTCAACTTATGAGAAAAATCGAATTTTCGAAGTAAAACCAGAGGTCGGTTCTTACCGAGACAGCCTCTTAAAAGTTCTGAGAAAACTGCACACCTAGCATACACAATGTCATTGATACAAGCAAGAAAACCTTTTACATCCCCACCCCTTCAAGAAGAAAGTCCCCCAATAAATTGTCTAAACAACACTGAAAGGCCAAGTATCAACAATGTGGCAGTAATTTTAGCTTTGGGAGCTCACGGTATGTAACTGCCAGTGAACTCACTCACCGACGCACTGCAGCGGTGACCCTGTCCATTCCATAACGTTATTAGCTCTCAAATCACACTTCCGTTCCTCGCTACCGACAGCTAGGTAGCCTGCATAGCATTGCATGCGACAAACCGACAAAATTACCCTGGGGCACTGACCCACGATAACGCCGTTGGGTGGAGGAAGCAGGGATTCACATCGACGAACTATATGTAGAAAATCATGAAGTACAAATACAGCATCAGTTCTAGATAAGCTATCACGAAACTGAGTCAATGACTGCGATAAGTCAAGCTCCGTTCCTTTTTATTCTTCTTAGTTTTTCACGTCTTCGTTTCTATTTTTATACAATTCTTTCACGTTGAATTTCGCTGGAAATATCGATGGCATGCTTTGTTTAGGATCCATCGAAGAACAGCCCAGTCAAATTCGGCCATATCGGACTTTTAGGGCAGTGAATCAGGAAAGTGATTAGATAGTTCGTAAGCTATGTTGGGGATTTGTATGTACTTTTTAGCGAACTCTCTCACCTATGCACTGCAGCGGTGAGCCTGTCCATACCATAACATTACTAGGACTCACATCACACCTTCGTTCCACACTACCGACAGCTACGTAGCCTTCATAGCACTGCATGCGACAAACCGATGAGTATTCCCTGAGGCACTGACCCACGATAATACCGTTGGCTGGAGCAATCAGGGATTCACATCGACGAACTATTATTTTAATAAAGAAAATTATAAAATACAAGTACAGTAAAGTAGATTGAGGGTGCGGTGGCCGCATAGGTTTTGCGCTAGACTCCGGATCGAGCGGTCTGGGTTCGAGCCCTGGCCGGGGACATTGTGTTGTGTTCTTGGGCAAGACACTTAACTCTCATAGTGCCTCTCTCCACCCAGGTATATAAATGGGTACTGGTGAATTTAATGCTGGAGGGCAACCCTGCGATGGACTAGCATGCCAAATGAAATCCCTATTTTATTTTTCGTGAACTGCGAAAGGATCTTCTTAGTTCCGTCAAACGTGATCTCTATCCCCCTTTACCACTGGCTCTCTTTTAGAATCAAGACAATTTGGAAAAACTGATGAAATGAAAATACTGACAGAGATAAATTAGCGGCAAAATCTAGCTATGTACGAGGGAATAAACGCACGAACGAACGAACGAACGAACGAACAAACACAGCTGGAATGACAAATTTGTTTAAACGATTCAGGATTTAGCATTTACTGCTGATTGGGGACATTTAAATCAGGCTAGAATTAGAAACAGTAATACACGGACCGAAGGTTGAAAAGTAAACAAGAAATAAATATCATTTATGATTTTTAAAAAATTATTTAAAAATTGCTTAAGGCAATAAAAATTACGTTATGATGGATACCAAAACAACACACTCGAGTCTGAGAATTTAATTAAACATTTTCCGATGTATTTTAGCTCAGGTGTTTTGCTATACTTCATAGAATCTTTTCGTAATTCCCTGCTCTAAAACGTGGAATGAAAAAAGTCTGAAGATTTCTTAACCTGCTGCTGCCTGAGTTCTTATTAACTAGCATCAACATTAGATTAGTGCAGTACAGCACGTCTTGTGATATGCGATTCAAAAAATATAGCGTTGTAGTTTATTGTATCAACCCTCTACTTGGTGCTTCTTTAGTTTACTGCGGTAGATTTCTAATGAGTGCCTCTTGGGCCCTTTTGAGTTTAGGAGAACAAGGCATACTATTGAGAACTGAGTAGGTCAGATTGGCATCGATGATTGATTTGTATAGCTGTAGTTTGGCTTCTTCTTGGATGAGATTTGTTAGTCGCATCACATCGACCTGTCGCCTGACTGGACAGTCACTTCTTTAACATTGAACTTCAGCTATCCGTTAGAATTTTAGACATGGTTTGATTTCTTTACCAAGGGCAGTCTTGTAGTTTGAAACTTCCTCACGAGATCGCATGAAACAAAAATCCAAATTATGTCTTTTTTTCTGAGTCAGGTTTAGATTCCAAATCTATATGCACGTATCAGGAAAATTTTGAATTTGAAAAGCCGTGATAAAGACAGAAATACATTAATAAGCAATGAAATAACTTTCGAACAAAAATGATAGTTATCGAACTGAGGAAGCAAATGTGACTTTGATAACTTACCTGTGCATGGTGAACCGACATACCCTATAGGGCAGCTGTGGGAAACTGACAGAAAAACTGCAAAAAGGAAGCAGCACGCTGAAAGCGCTGCAAATCTACACGGCATTACTTAGTTTTAATCTTCAGAGTTGTTCCGGACCAACGTGCTTAATTTGGACGATAAAGTATGATATTTCTCACTTGTTTATTGATTTTGTTAGTTTTCTTTCGACTAAAAATGTAGTCATGAACCTACAACAGGTGTGGAATAGAAGGCTGATCAAATAATTTTATTTAAATTCGACAAATGTTTGCCTATATTTTTGTAGCGATAATATATGTCCAAATCAGCTGTGACACTGACTGAAAAATGAACACTTCAAAGTTCATTGCTACCTAGAGAACGTGAATATTATTTTTGAAATCTTCTTCAGCGTTTTTTATTTAAAACAAAACTCATATGAAAAATCTGGCCTCAGTAATTTGCTATTCATGTAATTGACGTTCATTCAAGATTCTCGTTTGATAGTACACACGTCAGGGTTTGAAATTTCAGTGGCAAAAAATTTTGATTACTCCGTGAGCAAATATTAATTAGGTATATTAGAACACATCTAAAATAAAGAGAGATGATACTCGTGATTTAACATATTTAACTCGTGTTTCTAGAGAGATCTAGAAAGACAACTTGAAGCCAATAAGTAAAGTAATGCAATGGTTGGATATAATCGATGATTCGGCAAAAGTTTCCTTATTGCTTCTGGGAAATCAATCAGTAGCACCAAGAGATATCTGTCATCTTTTGCGCTCTCCAATTAAAAATGAGCGTAGGCGAAACACTTGGATTTGTTTACCATTTACAATAAGATATTCTCGAAATGAACGACATCAATTCACGCACAGAATTTTGATTTTAAGTGTGTATATCGGTTACAGAAATTTAAGGTTTTCGTATTTCTGTAAAGCATTGAAATCAGTCCTTTTTTTTTCCGACCATGCGCCCTTTTTACCCGAAAATCGTGATTTGTAGTTTCCGCTTGAGCTACGCCCATCAAAGTTGATCGAGTGTCTTAGCAAAGAAGAGCCCAAGGTCTGGTTTGATTGACAATATATAGCAAACAGCGTTGATAGACGTTGTATTCAACCAACCCAATTTAATACTGAGCTTAACGTTTCTTATGCTAGTAAACATACATTTTCAAAACTACTTATAACGTAGATATTAGAGTTCTGAAACCTAGACTGAGAAAAATTATCTGCAGCAGTAAACTAACCAGTTTAGACGTGACAGCTAGCAAAGCGCCACCTTCTCACTACTGATATTGTCATATAGAGGAGGCTTTAGCTCTTGAATGATCAGAGTCTCCTTAATTCTGCAATAAAAGTCAGTTTTGCCGGACACTAACATGTCGAAATTACCCCATTTTACTGGTGACCAGTGGTTTTTACAAGATCAGCAATTGCAATGGCTGATGAAGGGCCTTGAAATGTTCAGTTTTTTTGTCATGGAGTTTTCGTTTGTTTTGCCAACGTTAAATTCATTACAGTCCCAGCAACCAGCTTTATAGATGACTTTGGACCTCTGAGAGCGGTTCGAGCGATCTTTGTATATGGAAAGTGAGATTTGATGCGGCGTGTGGTCTGAAATATGATCTTGAGGTTGACGAAAGAGTAGATGTTGTATACACAGGATTTCAGACGCATCGTGATTTGGTTACTCTGAAGACCTAAGTAGGGTAACAGGATTAAGATGTCTCTTTGGGGGGAGACTGTAACTTGAACAGGGTAATCTGGTAATTTGGCTTTTTTTATTAATCAGGTTCTAGTATTGTCGTGACGTCTCTTCGGGTGTGACACATCACTCAGCTTTTCGCAAAAAACAATTGTTGTCCTAACGCTTCGTATGAAAGTCGTACCCTGGAAACATTTAGGACCTTCTGCAATCAACCACGGCAACAAGACAGCGTTGGGTCTTGCACACTGAGAACAATGTGAAAAGATCAATTTGTAAGAATTTTGGAGAACGTGAACGACGACGGCTATTCTTATCCTATTGAGCCGTTGCTATTTTTTCCGTTCCTGAGCTTAAATCAAACTTATATGGTACATGTATGTAGAAGCTACAAAATTGTTCCATGGCGTTGCAGAGAGCCAAAATGACGTCACACATTTCAAAATGTCGGGCATCTTGGATTTCATAATCTTTTTCAAATAAGTTACTGAAGTTAGAAGTGCTCAAAAATTGATTCAAACAATCAAAAATCATATGGATACACGTTCAGCAAAGAAAATGCCATAAAATAGTTGTAAAATCTAATTCAAAATAAAACATCCCTTTGAAAACATGGGTGCTATAGAAACATCAAGTCTCGTGACCAAGCAACTGATACACCAAAATATCCCTGAATAAACTTTTGGTCTTCGGCCATCGTAGCTTGATTAAAAATATAAAACAGACAGCGGTGATAAACATTTAAAAACATGCATTTTATGAACTTAACGCTTCGCATGCTAGTCAACAAAACTTTTGGAACGCTATTTATACTGTATCAATGGGGGTCTGGAACCTAGACAGAAAACATCTGCAGTAGAAATGACGTTTACGAACTTATAATTAAACTGTCTGTAAAGCGACACAATGGAAAAGCTTTCCTAATAAAATAAAAGCTTTTCACTTTTCACTCAATAAACAAGGTCTCTTTAACCTTACCGAATGGTAGTTAGTCTTGCCGGACGCCAAAATGTCAAAATGGTCCCATTTGATGTTGCGACCAGTTGTTTTGACGTGATCAGCAATAGCAGAAGGGTGATCATGTTTTGAAACATTTCACGGCCCTGAAATGTTTCGTTTTCCGGTCGTGAAGTCTTCGCTTCGTTTTCCCGATGTAAAAATCATTGCAGTCCCAGCTACTAGCTTTATAAATGACTTTGGATAATTGTGATCTGTTGAGACAGTCCTTGGATGGGAACTGAAGGATTTGATGCGCCGGGTGTTTTGAAAAATAACTTTGACATTAACAAAAGAGTAGAAACGACTTACACAAGATTTTAGACGCTTAGTAATATAATTGCTGTGGAGACCTATATAAGGTAATAAAATAATAGCATCTTTTTTGGGGACTGTTGCTACGGGTTCATTTGGCTTGTTCTTGTTCTTGTTCAGGACAGTCATTGATATTAAAAGTGATAATGCCCTGAGGGTGGCCATTTTACAGCAAAAGCCTTTTGAGATCCAACCTCGTTCCCAGGGTCTTTTCCCTGGCCCCACCCCCAAGCCAGGGAAAAGACCCTGGGAACGAGGTTGTTTTGAGATCCTCGACAGCGGATTGTAACAATGAAGCGGTGGAGCAAATTTTGACTTATGCGCATGCCCGGAATTGAACTATTGCTCAATTTTGTACGTAATCCTCGAAAAATCTCCTCCTTTTCCTTAGGCTTATTCAGCGTCAAGGCAGCCAAAAAAACCTGACTAAACGGTAAAAAAACGGTATTTTTGGCGAATGTTTGGTATTCAAAGGGTTAAAGCAACTGGTCACAACACTCCAGCCTTGATATGGATATGTTTTTAAGAAGAAGCCACTTTTTCATTATTATCAAATGAACAAAAGCCCTTCACAAATTATGTTTACGGTAATTTAACATTGGTCTGAACTGGGGAACTTATAAAGCATGTCTGAAACAGGGTTTTAATTTAATGATTAGGTCATAAATAGGGTATCGAATGATTTGGTCAGGTCATAAATAGGGTAGGAAATATCGCACATTTTGGTCCTAAATAGGGTAAGGGTTTGAGAAGCGGGCCGCACACCCCCACCCAACTTTTCTGGAAATGCCCCCCTGGGATCAAATGGGACCATTTTGACATTTTGGCGTCCGGCAAGACTGACTACCATTGTAAGGTTAAAGAGACCTTGTTTATTCAGGAGTTGCAGCCAGCATTGAATGCCAATGTCAGCAGTAAAAAGCTTTTACGTTATTAGGAAAGCTTTCCCATTGTGTCACTTTACAAACAGTTTCCGTTTGTAGCCGTCTTAAATTTCTACTGCAGATGTTTTCTGTCTAGGTTCCAGACCCCCATTGATACAGTATAAATAGCTTTCCAAAAATTTTGAACAGTTATATACTTTTGAAAATGTATGTTGACTAGCATACGAAACGTTAAGTTCATAAAATGCATGTTTTTAAAATGTTTATCACCGCTGTTTTATATTTTTAATCCCTAAATAATTTTTAGGAAAAGTTATAAAGAAAAAAGTTATTAAAACTGTTAAAAATATTGATGATACTGTGGCCATTTGTAGCTTGCATGCTGTCTTTGTAAGAAAAAACTGAAATAAGCAGGGGCACTTTGTGTCCCCCACCACTCCCACCCCCAGGCTAAATAGGGTTAAACACTTGAGCGGTAACAACATTATTAGCCCTGGTCAAACCGGAAAATAAGTGTAACATAAGAATATTCAGAAATTTAAATAATGCGGCCTTAAGAGCACGCGACGAACAGCGTGCATCTTGTACTCTATACCATCTGGCGACTGAAAAGACGGCAGGAGACCGCTCAAGCGACAATGCATAACCGAAACGGAACGAATTTTAGCTGCAGCTCACCGACAAATTCAAGCACAGATGCAGGCGGATCACAGACACAAATTCAACAAACTCAAGCCATCTTAGCTGTCATTTACTATATCATGGCAACCCTCTCCTTAGTGGGAAATACCGTCGTCATCAAAGCCATTAGAAGGATTGGAAAAACTTTACGAAGGCAAGTGCACTATCTGTTCATTGTGAACCTGTCTGTGGCCGATCTTCTGTTTGCCGTTGAGATGATACCAATGATCTGTGTGCACATGTTGATGAACAGTAAATGGCATATTAAGGGTCGCTTTGGTCAATTCTTGTGCCAGTTTGACGTGTTCCTATCCGCGGTTTTAATTTTGACATCGAATCTCACGATTCTAGCCATCGCCGTGGAGAAATTTTTGGGAATATTCTTTCCAATGAAAACGTTTGTCTCCAAGAAGCGTGCGTATTTTATTATTGTATCCACGTGGCTTGTCAGCGGACTTTATTCCGCTCCCTTGTTTGTCTTCGCGCATCTTAAAGTGGGTCGCCGTGGAACGGCGATGTGCGCTGTTTGTCTGACCTGCGAAGAGGTCGTCAAATGGTTTATATTTCAAACAATCCTTCTGGCGATGGGATTTTTCATCACGCTTACACTGTATTCAGCAATCGGGGTGAGAATCTGGCTTCACAAAACTCCCGGTTTTCAACTTCAAGAAGTTCAACGAGGAGTTCAAGCGAAAAAACACAAAGCTCTAAAAATGTTAGCGACGCTGGTGTTTGTATTTTACGTTTCTTTTATTCCATTCTGGATTTCTCAGCTGTCGGTTCACTTCGGCTTCTACGACAAGCTTGGTCCATACTATAACATAATCTCGGCTTTTTTAATGCTTTGCAACGGAACTGCGAATCCTGTCATTTACAGCGTATTTAACTTGGATATTCGTGACGAATTTAAATCTTTAATCACATGTAAGACCTCAGTGGAACGTAGGCAGAGCTTGCAATCGAGATCATTTCGTAATAGAGCCATTAGAAAACGAAAATATGAGGATTTAGAGCTGAACACATCGCCACAACCGTCACCGATGATTACTTTGAGGAGTAACAACAATTTTAAGGTAGTGACTGGCCAACAAAACGCGGCCTTTGTTTTTGAGGACACACGTTTGTAATGAAATTCATTGTAAACGCTGCTGAAACTGACAGCGAAAAGAAACTGACACCTGAGACAGTAGAGCACCAGTGCATGCGATAAATGCCGTGTTTTCACGAGAGAGGTTTACTACGGTTACTGCTTACCGAGGTTTCGTAACTAAACCGCAGTTATTAGAGGAGCTGTTTACACGAAACTAATTAACTAAAGTAGGAGGCATACAATGGACGGTTTGAGGTTTTCTCGGAAAGCAAGTGCTGCAATGTTGCTATTGGAAAATTATAAAATTTGACTTTACTCCAATACCAAACGCAGATCGTTGTCAATTTGCTTGCTGTGATGTCGAGCCAAACTCTCCTTAAATGTAAAGCTTTGTAGATGAATAATGGAAAGGAAATTTTGATATCTCGCTGAGCCTCTTCCTGCAAAAGACCTGAAACGACATCTGCCACGGAGCCCGGGCTACGTAAATGTTTGCCGGTACTTCTTCTTATTCGGGGCCGCTTTAAATTCCAACATTCGCCTTTCTTCTCCATAGACCTCAATTATGATTTTTTTTCTCTCTATTTGTGGTAGGTCGTCTTCTAGTTGCGCCTGCCTGTACACTGCTACGAAGCTACTGAGCTTCTAACAGAAAGGAAACGCTTACGGCACTTGACGATGAACAGGAAACAGCAGTCCGGGATTTCTTTACCTAAACATGAGTTTATTTAGCTTTTTTGCCCGTTGACTTGAAACCTACTTACATTAGGAGGAATCTTTGTCTATTTTCTCTTCTTTACGCGCTGCCCGCGTGAACACTAGCTGCCAAGATATCTCGACAATGTCTGCTTTTCTTCGGTTACCGTCGGTTATTGAGCTAAATCATGCCCGATGAGGCGTTCAACTGTCGACAAGCCTAGCTTGGCTTACTTTTGATTTTGCCGCCATTTATCGAGGTTTGCTGCTGTGTTTACGCGATTAAAAATTTCACTTCAGTAAAGTTAAAACAAAACCAAGGTAAACATCTCTCGTGAAAACACGGGCAAAGTCACTTGAAATGTGAGTCACGCGATTTAATCAAAGACAGTCACGCGATCTGATCAGTCACGCCAACGAGAATAACCACTGAGCATTTCTCAAGTAAACTAATACGAAATTATTAATTGACTTATTTCCCAGTATGACCACAGTTTCTTTCCTACAAGAGACCAAGTATAGTGATGGGATTTAGGACAAGTTAGTGCTCTCGTCGAGCACTGAACGTAAAATAAATGTATTTTGGTTCGCAATAAAGCGTATAAACTAGTTTTCACTGTGTGAATGATTGCACCTAAAATTATTGCTCGCTACAAAGTGTACAAACTGGCGTTTATTACGCGAAGCAAGACAGGTCTAAGATGCAAAAGGTATAGTACAATCGTTGCTGGAAGATTTTGTTTATGGTTTTTGTCCAGTTCTGAACCATAGTTAATAGAGGGAAATGGTTATGAAACCTGGTAGAGTTCTTTTTTTTTTCTTTTTTTTCTATTTTGGGGGTTGACCTTGCAAAAAACCTGGCAAAATTCAAAAGGAGGTTGTGTGTGCCCATACAAGTAACCAATAGTAGCATTGCGATTATGTAATTCATGCATAGTCAATGAGCATAAAACAAAAGATGTGTAGGGTCAATCTTAGCCTGTTTGCTTCTTTGATGTTTACCGGGCTTCTTAACCATTTCCCCGGGAGGTTCTCCCTTATATGGGCTATATAGGTATGTACAGCCCTAAAGGGTGGGATTTTTCAGCCGTTTTGGTCATGATAGGGTATCGATTTTACCATTTTGGTCTTAAATAAGGAATGGTTTTAGCACTCTAGTCTTCAACTGTCAGCCGCAACGGTCATAACTAGGGTGTCAAATTTTTTGGCCAGGTCATAAATAGGGTAGCAAAAATCGCAGATTTTGGTCATAAATAGGGTAAGGAGAAGTGGTTTTGGGAAGTGGGCCGCACACCCCCACCCAACTTTTCTGGGAGTACCCCCGGAACCATTTCCCCTATTAACTATGCCTAAACCAACAATTATTCGCCCGCCTGGTTGAACACTCACAGTTGCTTCGCTGTTTGATTACCGCGGCCTTCATGCACAATGAACCACTTTATTAGCTAGCACGCTATCCTGCTAGCCATCCAGTACAAGGAGGGAGTACAGTCCGCTTTACTGTAACACGAGTGCAAAGTTGTAATACGAGTCAGTTACCACGAAGATTTCCATACTAAGTAATAACTGAGAGCGAGGTATTTCATGATGACTAATCCTATGTTCCTATTGAACACTAAGCTCCAACCAGTACCTACCGTACTACTGATATATATATATATATATATATATGCCTCGTATTTTTATCGTCAGAAGTCAGTCGGTTATCTCTATGTGTGTCTTTCGTGGTCGTACACTAGGCATGCATTATACAGACTATAAATGCGTCACTACCGAGCCTTCCGAAGAAAGGTAAAAATACGAAACTGACCCATTAGTATCAAAATAAACCAAGAGGTATGTGGGACAACCAACTGACATGGTTTTGAGGCGGGGGGGGGGGGGGGATGCTTGCTAAGCACAGAGCTACGGTCTCTTTGACGGCTACCAAGATGACTTTTAGGTGATTTGTACGGGCTAATTAGAGAAAATGTTATAACATTAACATTTGTGTTTATTAATTGAAATCAAGGCGACTTAAATTGACGCAAATGTTCCAAATGAACGAAAATCAGAGACCTCTGAAGATCCTCGGAAATCTTCAAATCCTGTTCTGGTGATCTTCGAAGCGTTCGTAAGTCTTTGGATGATTTTTAAAATTCTTCGGAAGAGTTAGGGCCAGGTCGCACTTGAGCGAATTCAAATATTTTCAAATTTTTGACGAGGAAAAAATTGGCAAAATTTTCGCAAGTTCCAACTTTCGGCAGTGGTCGCATCAAACCAACATGCTTTAGCCATAAACTTGGCTAACTGACATATTCGTTAGGCACAAACTCATCTAAATGCGTTCTTCGCAAGAGAAAACGAAACGTCTAGGGCGTAAATTATGGAAGAATGGTTTGTTTGCCTCGGCTTTTCTTTTCCGCTCCCTGGCTTCCATTTGCGATCGAAGGAGACTTGTCTCTCTGAAGCCATTTGTTCTCGATATTGCTGCCAGTAACCAGATCGAGGAAACGAGTCAAAAACATTTAAATAATAGCGCCTCTCATTTTCCTCGTTTCCCTCTATGAATAACTGTGAAAAGGGTCAGATAGACCGGATAAAAAAATAATTTTGTCCAGCCATCGTACGCACCAAACTGGACTAGCCGACCAAAATTACTTTGTCGCCATAACTTTATCCAGACATGTTTTAAGAAATATGACAGTTTAATGGTTAGAAAAACAAAATTGTTTTCTTTGCCAAAATTTGGAAGCCTCCAAACTTCGGCTTCTTTGAAGATTGGCGAAATTTTGGCAATCCGCAAAAATTTGGAACTGGGGGTCGCACTTATTTTACGTTACTTGTTGACAGATTTATTACTTATACTAAGCCTTGCAACAAAGGCATGGGTCGCACTTGGGCAAAGTTTTCATCTTTGTTGACTAAAAAACCACAGAAAATCTAAAACCGCAACCGGAAAGCAAAAACTCGCGAAAGTAATCGCATCGAAGTTGAGGGACGAATAATAACTTATTTTGTTTTATAATAAAGTTTCCAAAAAAAAATAAAATAATAAAAAAAAAAA